AATATAGTAGACAGGCTGAGAGGACATTACGGTCATGGTAAAACATAAATAAATGAATGACATTGATACGTTTGTTACTTCCGATTGTCGTATACTTATATTTATCGAACCTCTGTGATTGGGTCCTTGAGTGCTGATTGGTTAATGTGGGTCTGTCCATGAACAGTGTATTCACAATTCTAGGTAGTCATGTTATGCAGTCTGAGCAGATATTATGTCCAGGCTGTCCAGTGTCGACGTATACTGTGTCTACAACCTGCCCCCTAGAAACATCAATAACTATACCATTTGTTTCTATTTAAGCGCAGAGCTACACAATGAGCGTTTTGCCAACCTCGGGTATCTAACCCAGATATTTACCGTTATAAGCTCTCATACTTACCATTAAGCCAACACAAGCTATGTTTCCAACAACTTAACAACTTTAACTGTCCGTCAAAAGCCTCTGCTGGTAACATTATCGCCCATCAGACCTCAGTACTGTCTTTCCAGAGACGATACAGCAGTGTATTAGCTTCACGTGAAATATGTTATAACATATATCATATAGCTGAAATTTTACAGACCGTATAAAATATTAACCCTTTCTATTCCTGCTTTATCTGGAAATAGTTACATAGATGGATGGATAAACAGATAACAGAAGTACGTTCTTCTCTGTTTTTCTTTTTTATCTATCTCCGCCTGTCTACACATGATAACCTTTCGAAAGTCATGGTTCTAAATAATATTAATTTTTATCTCCAAGATGGAAAAACCAAACTCTTCCGTTGTATGTTGATCTTAAGATAATGGGAACCAGAATTTAGTTTTATTTACTCACGGGAGATTCTCTCTTCTGAGTAATAAGAATGTTTCGTTATAAGAAAGGAAATAAAAGAAAGGACACATATCATTACACAAATGTGTTAGATAACCTTTATATTACGACACCTTTATTACTACTAGATTAGTTTCCAAGGTAACATTAATAAGGGAAATAATAATAATTTCGTCGTTGGAAAAAAGAAAATAATTTTACAGAGGGCGTTAGTCTTAAATTTCACATATTAAACATAGGCTATATTCCTTTATTTAATTTCTTTTATGTCACAATACAACCAAAAAACAACAACTTAAACAATAAAGAAAACACCCAGATGGAGTGTTGTCAAGTACATTCTACTGTATATGTATATATATATATATATATGTAGATAAAGAGGGAGTGTTGTCAAGTACATTCTGCTGTATATATATATATGTGTGTAGATAAAGAGGGAGTGTTGTCAAGTACATTCTACTGTATATATATATGTAGATAAAGAGGGAGTGTTGTCAAGTACATTCTGCTGTATATATATATATGTAGATAAAGAGGGAGTGTTGTGAAGTACATTCTACGATATATCTAGAAGTACCACTTTGATAATCTAACATGACTATACATGTTGGTAAAGATAAGTTCACAGTTAGAAGTACCACTTTGATAATCTGACATGACTATACATGTTAGTAAAGATAAGTTCACAGTTAGAAGTACCACTTTGATAATCTGACATGACTACACATGTTGGTAAAGATAAGTTCACAGTTAGAAGTACCACTTTGATAATCTGACATGACTACACATGTTGGTAAAGATAAGTTCACAGTTAGAAGTACCACTTTGATAATCTGACATAACTATATATGTTAGTAAAGATAAGTTCACAGTTAGAATTATCACTTCAATAATCTGACATGACTATACATGTTGGTAAAGATAAGTTCACAGTTAGAATTATCACTTCAATAATCTGACATGACTATGCATGTTGGTAAAGATAAGTTCACAGTTAGAAGTACCACTTTGGTAATCTGACATGACTATACATGTTGGTAAAGATAAGTTCACAGTTAGAAGTACCACTTTGATAATCTGACATGACTATGCATGTTGGTAAAGATAAGTTCACAGTTAGAAGTACCACTTTGATAATCTGACA